AAGCTTGGTGGACAGCGTCCCGCTCAAGACACGTTGTTTGCCAAACATGGCTCACGTACGTGCATTCACGTCTGTTCACTGCAAGGTATATGCTCATCACCCTTATTAGTTGTCCATTTTGATCCCCCAGGCTACCCTTGCAAATGGCGATGCAGTTGCAAACGCGGCTAAAACAAACGCATTGCGTGCAAGCAACGCCCAACCGGCAAGCAGTGCAGGAACCGTTGACCCTTCCCAAAGCAGCGAAAGTTGCAAGCACCGGTGCAACTGATCACAGGAGGCAGGCAGGCCCTCCAAAGAATTACGCTGCGCGGGTGGGTTTGGCTGTCGCAGTCGCTCAAATCGCGTCGACGGGCGTTGTAGAATTAACCAAAAAACTGCATTGTGGGGCAGAAGAGCAAATCACGAGTGCAGTAAGGGTAGGCTGGCAGGTTTCACAGCCCGATATAGAACCAATGTGCAGCTCATGTTAAACATAAGCAGCGCCTCCTCTTCAGGCACTGCCTTCGCCTACGATAACCAAACCACTAGCCTTTGCCTTGCGCTCGCAGCACGGATGGAAACGAATTCAATCAAACCCCGCATCATACACATATCCAAGTTGCCTTGCCTTAACGTTCTTACCTGCTGAAAAGGCTGCAATTCCTTGTAAGTGGCAAGCTAGTTTCTTTGCTCGCAGTCAAGAAGAGTAAGCTATTTAAGCGACATATCATTATAGAGAAGGATATTGGCCCATAGTACAACGCGCTCAGAGCTAGCCAAGCCTTCAATATGAAACTAAGTTAAATTGATGCCTATCTCACTCTCTCTCTCTCTCTCTCGCTAGAAAGCCCTTTGGACGGCGACAAACTTCAAGATACAAGGCCCCCATGACAAACACCAACACCAATGCTATGTTTGAACTCTTGAACCGCCAGCAAACCCCATTCCAACAGCCATATAAGGCCCTTTGTATAAAGGCCTTTCTTTTGGCCTTTTGAATCCCAGGGTCAAGTGGCACCCCAAGTATAAACACGTTGCAAGGTCTTTAGGCTGGCTTCACACATCTGAAACAGAAATGTGAGGGGGGGTCGGGACAGCTATACCGCGAACCTTGTCGAGCAAAACAGGTTCTTGGGAGGGCTCCGCAAAATTGATCTTCGAAGCTTTGGCACAAACTCAACAAGCACCAAAACGGTTCCGCAGAAACGTTAGTCGAAGATCCGAGGCAAGTTTTGAAATCACTCGCTGTTTTTGCCTAGCGTTCAAAAAACTTTGTCGAAGTTATGCGGTGGCGGAAATCCAGACCCGCGCCGCTTCCAGAAATCACAAACATGTGGTTTTCCCAATGGTCTTCAAAACTTGTGATTTGCCCAACGGTCTTCAAAACGCGGGTCCTGTACGTAAGTGTACGGCGCCCGCCCATGTTTTGAAAGGCCAGCAAGTTTGGGCTGGCAAGACACATGTGGCTTCCCCATAGTGCGAACTTTCCCAACAACAAAGGCCCCTTCGACATAACGGGCGCTGAAAAGGCACATTCTGGGCTCCACATATAACCGCTGCGGGGCGAGCGACGCACCACTTAAGTTGCTCTGCAGTGCTGCAAAAACACGAAACAGTGGGTGGACAGAAACCATATTGTAGCACCCTCCGCGTAGCGCAAATGGGTCTTTTAGGATCCCCCCAATGTATGGCCGGATATGATTTGCGGAGGCTGCGCTGCTTCTTTTCCGGCGGGCAAGCGTGTCTGGCGATAGACTATGCGGAGCGCGCAAATATGAGTCACGTCATGCTGCAATGCTCACATGTAGTGCGAAATCCAAGTCGCAACACGCTCATCACACATTGCTTTCAATAAGGGGAGACTAGCCCCACAACCTCTTTTTCTACAGTAGGAAGCCCGTTCGGTTTCTTCTTCAGTCCTTCTTTGACTCAACAAGAGGGGTGTTCTCTTCACGCGTCAGAGAAATTCCTTCAGAGTTGTTCATTGGGGTGTGCGTTTTCAAGGCGCTCAGCGGGTAAACGGTGGTAACTTGTCCGGGCGCTAACTTATTGCCGCAGCCTCTGTATGACAACGCGTCGGATCCGGCTTACTGCTGCTCGTGCAACGTTTACCTTGAGATTTCGCGACGCGCAAAAACGCAGGGCCTTTTGCAGGCCCCTTTGATATTTCACGACGCTGCCAGAATCTTAACAAATTTGCAGGCCGTGAGAATCGCGAAAATGCCATTGCAATCCCGTATGACCTCGATCGGGGGCAATTAAGGTCGTGAGCGGTATGGCCTCCAACATTGCGATCGGACGGGTGTCAAGGTTAATTAAGTCAATACAATGATACGGCGAGGATGTCGATGCGCCGGTTCTATCATAGCGCAACTGGAATACGATCGTGGCTTGAGGAAGGTGATCATGTTTGCCATTCTTCAATGCGAACGTTGATAATGATAGTGGCTCTTGCTGTCATTACTTTCCGAGGAATACTCTTCCTGCCAGTAGTACTGCAGTCTTCCACCCCGGGAGTCATTATAGCCCTCGTTGCAGACTTGTTGTATTCTTGTCGGCGCTGATCCTTCCATTCAATCCTGCGGTAGTTGCTACCTTCTTCGTTTCGCCCTTGCTCTTGATGATCCCTGTCGCGTTCACTAGCATTTCACTCGTGATGTCCTTGAACCGTTCTGCAGAGGAATGCTGATAGTCGCTGATGGTCATGCCTGGGTCATTTTCAATCTTTTTCGTTTCTCATCACAGGTGCCTTCTTCTGGTATCCGGCATAGCTGTTGCTCTTCTGTCTTGCCCCAGTTGTAAACATAGATTGCCGTGCAATGAGGAATGGTCCTGTCCCAAGATGATCCCTGCTTTGTGTGAAGCATGGCGAGTGATGTCACGGATGCTTGCTGATGAGTCACAGGAGAATCTTTTGAGCCTGCTGGACCTACGGCCTCTAGCCGGCTACGCCTCTTTGAAGCTATGCCATGTCATGTTATGGTTTTTGTATGAGAAACGTATCCTGTGCTAGCTGGTTAGGCTGTGCGTGTTGCCCACTCCAACCCTAGATAATGCCGGGGATGCAAGCTTTCTAGGCCCCAGCCGGGCCCAAACCCAAAAGGTTCACATGGGTTCGCGCGCGCACGCGCGCGCCAGAGGCCCCAGAACGAGCAGCCCAAAAAGAAATGCCCGCAAGCCAGCCCGGAAACGCAAACGCAACAAAACACTGTAAATAGCAGCGTTTTGTGGCTGGGGTCGCGCGCGCGCGCCAGAAAGCCCGAAAACCAACGGGAAGAAAGCAAGGACCGCGCAGCGCACGAGCCAGCCACAACAAATGCAAGACTCACAGAACAACAGACCAACGCTCAGCGCAGCAGTTTTTGACGGCACCTTCTAAAAAACAGTGCTTCATGGGTTGAGAGGCTTTTTGGAAGGAAGTCTTGATGATGCAGACAAGCCCCGCTGAAGCATCACCCAGGCCCAACCCGAGACTTTGATGATGACAGCCACACGGCCTAAACCCTGCAGAAACGCGATGTTTTGCAAGGGTTTCTACAGGCAAGCAAAACCGCAAGCCCGAGTTGGTGATGCAGAGGTGCCGAATTTAGGCAACGCATCACGACCAAGTGGCGAGGGTCGGCGGCACCGGGTGCAGCCCCTATAGCTAAAGCTAGCAGGCTAATTGCCTAGCGGCGACATGCTACCCCAGGAGGCGTAGCCGGATTGAGGGGCTGTTGCCCCACAGGACTATGGGCGCCATCAAAAAAACGAACGAAATAATTCTTGATTCCGTTGAATTCGGGCCAGAGGTTAAGGGAACGTGGGTGCCGAGGATTACCTCACGGGACTATGGGTGCCAATGGAAAGCGAGCGAAAAACATTTCGTTGAATTTGGGCCAGAGGCTCGGGAATGTGGGTGCCGAGGCTTACCCCACGAGACCATGGGTGCCAATGGAAAAACGACCGAAATATTTTTTTAGTTCGTTGAACTCGGGCCAGACGCTAAGGACGAGGACTGACATCCTAACTATAATCGTAGCCTCCTCTGCGCTAGTTTCCTAACAGATGTTGATGATCGTGAGGAAGGGTGATGATAACCACCATGATGATGATCAGGGTGATGATCATGACCATAAAACGATGATAAGGATGATGACGGTCATGGTAACGATCATCGTAGCATCCTCTGCATTACCAATGCTGCCAAGAGATGATGATGATCGTGAGCACGGTGATCAAGATGATGAAGGTGATGAAAGCTATCATCGTAGCATCCTCTGCGTTACCAATGCTGCCTCATAAGAAATGATGATGACCAGGAGCAGGATGATAAGGATGATAAAGGTCATGAAAACTATCATCGTAGCATCCTCTGCATTCCCAATGCTGCTTCATAAAGAGATGATGATGGGGTGTCGAATATAATCATCGATTACCCTTCCCGTGCGCCTCCCCCTTTCAGGAGTAGGGGTCGGCGGATTCCAACTTGTCTATCTTGTCCATGTCGGGGATGCTGTTCCAGAAATCCTTTAATTGGCTGATAGCTGCTGTCAAAAATCCAAAAGCCAGACGATACCCCTGCCAGTTCTTGGAGTCCTGTGTTCCAGAACTAGTGGTAGGAGATCATCTCTCAATTCCTCTCGTCATCAAATCTTCTTTGGCGTGGAACCTCGCCGGAGAAACATGCTTCTGTTCCATAGTGATGGCGATCATCTGTTCACTGGCTCCATGTTGCTTGGAGGTCTGAGAATCGCGCCACAAAATTACCTGCCAAAGCGCCACCTACATGCTACAAAGTCCCCTCGTGCTGCGGTAAGCAACATGCACTCAAAGATGTCAAATTCTACTATGCAAAACCAAAACAAGGGTAAGGGGGGCCTTTTGGTGTTGACGCTGGTGTCTTTATTCACCGGTCGCTTCGCTCCAGTGATCTAATTGCCTCAGGCCCAAGGGCCTCGGCGGATTTAGTCTGCTTGGTTTCGATTGCGCATTGTCAATTGCCTCGTTGCTCGAATGCGTTCAAGCACTCTGCCTTGAAGCAACGGGGCTCAAGCTTGCGATGCCCATTGACATGTTGTGTGCGGGATGTCAGCAAGGCATTGACGGTGCCTATGTCAATCTGAATGGGGAGGCCTTTCACCCACAGTGTCTGACCTGCCAGACATGCGGCACACCTCTTCATTCAGTTATCATGAAGGATGGCAAGCGTGCGTGTCAGCGCTGTGCCAGAGATGTTTGCTCCCAATGTCAGAGGCCTATGGAGCAGGGCCTTATGTTCGAAGGGCAAGCCTGGTGCAGATCCTGCTTCAAATGCGCAGGATGTGGAAAACCACTCACCTCTGCCTACAAGTCGGATAAGCCAGGACAGATTGGAGTGTTTTGCAAGGACTGCGTTTCACCACACTGCTCAAAGTGTGGCTCCGTCATAGACGGCCAGGCAGTGCAGTGTGGTGAGAAGGTACTGTGTTCTCGCTGCTTTGCGTGCGATTTCTGCGGAGCGCCCTTTCCTGCAGGCCAGTTCTATCTCAAGGATGGGGGCAAAGCGTGCGGCAACTGTGTCAATCAGGTGCCCCAACAGCCCCAACAGCCCCAACAGCCCCAACAGCCCCAACAGCCCCAACAGCCCCAACAGCCCCAACAGCCCCAGCCCAGACCTGGACCCTACTTGGGAAGTGGACCTGCTCCAGCTCCAGGAGAAGGGAGGCGAATTGTTGTGAAGGCGCAAAAGGATGAACATACATTGTGGCAGTGGCAGGGTGGCTACTGTCAACATGGTGATCATGCTGGTCGTCCACTCTTCGTGCGGGACACTGCTGATGGGCAATCACTGTTCTTCATATACTTCCACCCAAATTTTGGCAAGTGGTTCATTGGGCCAAGTGTTTGCTCAAGCGGATCTGTGAACTTCAGTTGTCAGTCAGCGGACGACGCTGCCTCGCCTGATCTTTGCCAGTGGGATCCACAGATGGTGCAGAAGATTTTTGAGCCGGAAGAAGTGTTCGACAAAACATCTGATGATCTCGGCGCCGGAGCGTTGTTTGAAGATTCACAGTTTCCTCACACTCTCGTGACCATCAACGGCCCCGGTGTGTCTGCCACTGGTTTGCAGGAGGCCGTTTGGGTGCCCGCAAGGATGCTGCGCAAGGGCCATTGGCAGCTTTTTGATGGCATCGCTCCGAGGGATTTGCTTCAGGGTGAGGTGGGAGATTGTTGGCTGATTGCCGCCCTTTCGGCTTTGGCCGAGTACCCAGAATCCGTCAAGAAGGTGTTCAAGGTGGACGGCTCCCAAACCGATGGCCGCTTCGTCCTGGAATTGTTCGACCATAGAAGCAACAAAATGGTTGATGTGGAAGTGGATGAATTCATTCCGTGCGAGAGGGCGTATTGGTGGGCAGAAGAGACAAGGCCCTACTTCTCCAAGCCCAATGGCAACGAGATGTGGTGTTTGATGATGGAGAAGGCCATGGCAAAGCTCTTCGGGAGCTATGCCCATTTGGCAGGAGGCGTTCCCAACACCTGTTTTCGCGCCGTCACGGGCTGCTCGGAGCAGTTCCTTTGGTCTCGCAAAGGGCCTGGTTGGATGAAGAGCGTGCTCTCAACTGAGAACCTGAACCAGTTCATGTTTGGAGCAGATGCGCCAAAGGCTTCCAATGATGACTTCTGGGGGATTCTGAGCCGTCACTGCTTTGAGTGCCATCTGATGGGCGCATCCATCGAAAGCCCCACGCAGGCTGAAAGGCCAGATGGGCTGGTTGCTGGGCATGCTTTTGCAGTGCTGGTGCTGTGTGATGTGCCATCCGGAAGTGGAAGTCTGCGGCTTGTGTTGCTGCGGAACCCTTGGGGCAACGAGAAGGAGTGGAAGGGGCGCTGGTGCGACAACCACCAGCTGTGGGCGCAGCACCCCGAAGTGCAAAATCTGCTCCGCCCGAGCTTCAAGAACGACGGGCTCTTCTGGATGCAGTGGGAGGACTTCAGCGCCATCTTCAACCAAATCCACATCAGCGGCAAGTCCATGCTGCACGGTGAGAACTTGGCCAAAGCCCAAGCAGCCTTGAAGGACCCAGTTATGAAACAAACTTTAGAAATCTTTAGAATAGACTCTGGACTTGCATGTTCTTCCCCCGCAGGACTTCCGCATTTTCAAGCTTTTTGCGGACTCCCAACATCTCAGTCGCACGAGGGCGGGCTACGCTTGAGGCCTCGGGCCATTGCTGATATTTTCACGCAGTAAAAGCGCGGTCCCACACGAGCCGTGCCGCGAGTCGTGCTGCGAGTTGCACACAGAGAGGGAGAGGGAGCATTGCACTGGACATTTGCAATTCTTTGGTCAGACATGTGCAACATTTGGGCTGTCAACATGTTGCACTTTGAAAAACCCAGGGCGGCTTGAATGGCGCGTTGAGGTTTTGGATGGTTTTGGCTAAACTTGTTGCAAGCCAAGCATTGCCTTCAAAGGGAGTGCTGGGGCGCCATGTCATATGTGCCTGCAGCACAGCAGTTTGAGTCCTGGCAGAAAGGCCAAAAAGCCCTGTTGCCTCCAACATTCCATCCATTCACCATATTGACGTTTGGTTCTTTTGGCTCTTTTGGTTCTTTTGGATCTTTGGCTTGTGTCACAACGCTAAGGACATTTCGCGAGAGACCCAAGAGCTGCTTCACCGTGCCCGGTCCTGAAATCAAATCCAAGGGATCCGAGTGAAGCCATCCAAGGCCTTCACTGGTTCATTGGAATGTTCATGGTGTACGTGTCATTCGATATTAGACGAATTAGACGAATTAGATGTCACAGTTGACCCTTGCAAGATGCAAGAAAGTGTGTTTGGGTCTGTGCCTGCCGATTGGTCAAAGGCCGAGAAGGGCAAGAAGCTGAAGCCGTCAGCCGCGGCAAATGCAAGCCGAGCACTCGGATCCGATGCATTTCAACTTACGCAAAAGAAGCCGAATACTGTGTCCTGCGACGCATATGAAATCGACATCTACAGCCAGAAGGAGAGCTTTGCGTGTCGAAAAGCACACCCATTTCATCTCACTCTCACCTCACCCCTTGCCGTGTCTCAGCTTGACTCTGCAGGATGTCCGCTGGGTCAAAGAAGCAAGGATGTCAGCAAGTTTGCGCGACACAGATGAGCCTCGCGCTTGGTTCCTATGCCTTTCAACTTTGGGTTGTGCCGTCGCCCAGCTGTCAGGGCAGATTGCTACGGATTTGTGCTACCAGCTTGAGATGCATCAGACTGGGTGCCTTCCTTAGCACAGCATGTTTGACACTTGTGAACTTGCACCATTGCGCGTCCTAAGATGGCTTTTGTCACTTGCTCTTCTCGGCTGAGGCAATGCTGGTGCACAACGTGTCACCTCGTACCGGAAAATAAAGGTGCAGCTGCGGCACAGTTGTTTCGTTGCAGTGTGACTTTGCTTGACTTAAAGAGTTAGGGAGGTCAATGCTCACACTTTTGAGCATCAGGCTGCGGTCTTCAAGTCAAGCAGGGAATGCCTGCGACGGGTACAGGACCAGCAACAGTGCCGGCGCTGGTCAACATCTCTTTCACCGAGGCATCCCGTCTGCCGAAGTGTGCAAATGCCAAATAATTCGAAGATGTGCGGAGGAACGCGCGCTACTTCGAGCATGCTTTTTGAAATGCATGTAACAATGTTTGTATGTCCATTCATGCTGACAAGCTGGAAGTTGTAAAGAATCATACCAAAACGCAAGGATGTGTAATGTGTTGTCCATGTTCAACTTCGCTGTCAAAGACAAGTGTTTGGTCTGCTGCATTGGGTTTGTTGCACGTTTGCATGTTGGTCCACTCCTGGCGTTTGGCAGACATGCCCTTGAGTAGATGCAAGCAAAGCTGGCGAGGTCAGGTTCTTTTGTGGTGTCTAACGCCTGAAGGTTCGTTTCGCCCTTGAATCCAAGCACTGGATTGTTGCGCTAAATCTAGACCAGCTCCCTCCACATCACTCGTTTCTTGTCATGTCTTGTTCCTTGGCCATGCATTCAGTGTGAATGCCTGTTGCTTTCTCGTTGGATGTATCGAAGATCTTTCCATTGCTCGACCAGTACCATGTTCAGACAGTGTTGCGACAAATGTGTTGCGAGTGGGCGAGAGTGATGGGTGAGAGTGTTGCGACACAGGACAAGCACTTTATCACGTTGCTTGCCTAGATTGCCACCCGCAAGGCAAAGTCTCGCAACTATCCCCAGCAGTGTGGGTCTGTCAGCTGAGAAGCCTTGCCTGGGCCTTACCAGCTGTGTGCATTCATGTCGAACCAAAGGGTCGACTTCCTTCTCAGAAGAACTCTCGAATTGTCGCCCACCTGCCGTGCCCTCACTCCCTGACCTTGCAGGGCGTGAGTGGTGGCTTCCAGCTCGCTGGCAATGCTTTTCCAATCGACCCAGCGCCTGCAAAACATAGCACTCCTGACATGTATGTAAACGTATTTGTTGAATGTGTTTTGATCGCACGTTTCTTTGTGTGAACTTGAACTTTGATAAGATGCTGCTCGTCTTAGCTTCAATGTTTGTCAGGCATACTTGAAGAAAGTGCAGACATCAAGCCGATCTTCGCTGATCCTGTCTGAGTTGTTTCAGAAGGGCGATGACAAAGATTGATGTTTTCAGTGATTTCAACGCTGAGCATTGCTTGAGGCTATCAAGCAGGAGAACCCAAATACTGTATCCTGCGATGCCTATCAAATTGACATTTACCGCCAAGAGGAGAGCTTTGCTCACATCAAAACACACATTCACACACACATTTGCATTCTCGTTTGTTCCACACTCTCACCTCGCCCCTGTGCCGTGTCTCAGCTTGATGTTGCAGGACGGCCGCTGGGTCAAAGAAGGCAAGATGGCAGCAAGTCTCCGTGAGACAGACGAGCCAAGCACTTGGTTCCGATGCGCTAGGGTTTTTTTGCGTTATTTTGGCGTCGCCCAGCTCTCAGGGCAATTGCTATGGCTGCGTACTACCAGCCGAAGCCGCGTCTTAGGCGCCTCCCCCAGCAGTGCAGCATTTTACATTGCTCGAATTTGCATCATTGGCCTAATTTGGCTTTGACTTCTTTCGTTCTCGCCTGAAGCCAAGCAGGCACATCGTTTCACCTTGTACAAGAAGCATGGGGACAGTCACTTCTTTGCAGTGAGCGTCTTTCTTTGGTGTTCTGTGGCTTGCAGGGTTAAGGGGGTCCATGCTCACATGTTTCAACATGAAGCTGCGGTGCTCAAGTCAAGCAGGGAATGCGTGCAACGGGTACAGTACTAGCAACAGTGCCGGTGCTGGTCAACAGCTGCTCCACCGAGGCATCCCTCCTTGCGCCGAAGTGCGCAGATGCCAAACAGTTTGAAGAAGTGTGGAAAGCTCGCTACGTCGAGCATGCTCATGGAAATGGCGCTCAGCTGCAAGCTTCGGAATGACACGACTTCTCAAACCCATGACTGACCTTGCAGCACATCTCGTGAGATGGCTTCTTGTGCTTGATTTGCAGGCTGTGTCCCTTGATTGAAAAAGACAAGATTCTCAAAAGCAACAAAATATCCACAAACCGCAGCTTCGCAGGTTTGACGATGTGCCTTTCATCATTGCCTCTCAATTCGAATTGGGGATCATCGCCCACAAAAAACTGAAGTTTTCAAGTATGTTGGTTCTTGTTTGACACATGCTGCAGTGATGCATGGCTCTAAGAAATGTGTCATCGCGTCATCCAAGTCCCAATCTCATTGATTGATGCTTGAAGAGTGTTTGATCTCTTTGCCACAAAAAAGGCTGCTCGTTTGAGCTGTAGGCTCCTTCTTGCAGCCATGGTTGTGCCAAAGAATCGGAAGCCATGGAAGTTGGTGGTATTGGGGCTTGGTTGGTACATGGAACACATGTACATGCTGCGGGTCTTCGTGCCACGTCGATTTCATGAAAAGCCGCCTGTGCAAACAAGATTGGCTGCAGATGGCAAGACCGGTGGGCGCAAGAAACTTGAGTTGCCTCCGCTGACAAGTCCTGCAAATCCTGAAGAACACGTGTTCATCCCCTTGGATGACTATGGCGTGAAGATCCAGGGTTTGTTCCAGGGGCAGGAGTTCGTGTTCCTCCGCGGAGGTGTAGGGGTCGGCAAAACCACTTTGGGGTACCACTTGGGACGGGAATATCCGAAGACATTTATCAGTGTTCTTTTTGGCGATGGCGGGTACGATTCTTGGCGCAAGAACATCGTTGAAGGAATTAAGCTTTCAACCGGGAAGGAGGTGAATGAGAGTGGCACGCAGCTTGAGGACGCACTGCGGCTGGCAAAAGCTGACAATCTGACATTGGTATTGGATGAAGCGCACACAATCTTCAGCTTGCCACGCATTAGAACATTGCTCTTCAAGAGCTCAATCCACCCCAAAGTGCTCCTTCTCTCAGCCTCCGGCGAAGGAAATGCAAGTAGTCCTACCACACCCACTGAGATCAGCCAAAAAATGTTTTGGACTCCTCCTGTCCCCGGCGTTGGTGAGGACAGAGGCGGGTGTGTGCTTGGACAAGGATAGCGTTGACTTCTTCATGAAATTCTGCGGCGGTCACAGATCCATCTTTATCGCGGCGATGGCATGGGTCAAAAACAATCAACACGGAGCACTGTGGAAGCATAATGAGACCGTGACCAGAGTTCGCGACAGCATCGATGCAACCGACTGGTGGGCACGGGGCTCGATTTTGGAAGGACTTGCTGCATCTCGAGGTGTGAAAGTCAATGGACAGTTTGGCAACCTTGACATGGTACCGATGGAATTTGTCAACATTCTCTGCGAGGGTCCAGGCCAGCTTTCTGAGGAGTTGCGCCGTGACTTGACTGTCTGTGGCTTCGTGATCCCGGTGCCTATTGAGCATGATGGCGAGTTCCGGCGAGTAGACTGGACGAGAGACGATGTCGTATATATGGTTGCAAACCCAATTCTGGCATCATTCTATCGGAACCGGTTGGAGAGGTTTCGCGGTTTGAAAGTGAGAATTGATCCCTTTCTCCCTGTGAACTGCATGGACTTGCTACTGCGCGCGATTCCGTATGTTACCTTTGCCCAGGTTGTGGGGTTTTCACCAAAGGCAGCAGCAGATTCCTCACTGTCAAAGGATGACTTGCCTTTTGAAGACCAATACAATGCTGCCATCATCGAAGTCTTGCAAAGGCTCGGATACACAGCTGATTCGTCCCACAACAAAGAAGTGGGCAAGGTGGACATCTTTGTGAACATTGACAACAGGACCTTTGGTGTGGAATGTATCATGGCAAAGCGTGGCCCGACAGACCACAAAAAGCACCGGGGACGCTTTGACACTTCGCTGTATGCGTACAGCAACGCCGACCACAAGGCACTAGTCACGATTGGAAGCAGCAAATCTCGGGTGCGAGAGCGCGTCTTGAAAACGAAAGCAGATGGTGTCGAGATCATCGGCTTGGTGCCCAATATCGCGCACACTGGCTACAACATTCTGTACCGAGGTTTGGGTGCCAAACAACTGTCCGACTCGGCTTTTGTTTGAATTTGAACTTTCCATTGCCAGCCCCAAAGCTTTTTGTCATCTTGAAGACTCTCAAAGATTGGAGTGTGGTAAAGAACTGAATCATCCGTCGCCCTGGAGGTGCCCAAGCTGCAGAGGGTGCAGATTTGGTGGAGTACTATGTCGAGTGCGACCTCGTGGCACGTGCGTTGGACACAAGCAACAGTATCCGCTGCATCCAGAAGGTTTTGCGCATCAACAAACCTGCGCAACCTCCAGGCAACATTTTCGTTTGCATTGGCGCAAAGATTTGTTGCGCAAGTCAGGACGCAAACTGTGCTTCATTCACTGTGGGTTTCCGCCTGGAATAATCATCTTTGAATCTTTTCAGCGAAGTGGAATCTTGTCAGAGCTGCACCCTGCAAGGCAGCGCCGCCCATGGGTGAGAGTGTTGGAACGGGGCAATGGGCGCTAGACTTTTTCATACTGCAATAAATGTGTTCTCAGCGCTAGACTGGCCTTCCTGCAAGGCAGCACTTATCACGTTGCTGCCCAGAATGCCGCCTGCAAGGCAGTGCCGCCTTGCAACCATCCGCTGCGGCGTCTGCGGTGTGGGTCCGTCAGCTGAAAAGCCTTGCCCGGGCCTTACCAGCTGTGCACAGTCTTGCCTGCCCTGCGTTCATGCTCAAGAGAAACTTCCTCCACAGAGATTGTCCCACCTCCAAAATCGAAGGCGTTTGTGGAGCCGTCGGTTTAACGGCTGGATGTGAACTGGATTGCAGTGCTTGTGCCTTGCGAGGACGGCAAGGAGTTCATTGGCAATGCGTTTCAGGTCAAAGGTGTCTTGGCAAACGCAGCGACCTCAGCTGCGCCACTTTGCGAAGGATCGCCTCAGCTTCGCGTTGCCTTCAAAAGTGTTGCTTCACGCTTCACGAGAATGCCAGTTCTTTGACGTATGCAGTGCATTCATGTCCATGTCGAAGGCAATTCATTCTCAAAGACAAGCGGATGATGTTGTTCGAATCTTGTTTGAACACTTGCCGAACCTCCACATGAAGTGAATTCCAGCGCTTCTTCGAGGACGGCGCGAAGTTTGAATTGACGGGCAATCCGTTCTAAAATACTACAATCAGAGATGTCCCCCGCCTCAGCTGCTTCACTTACTCACTTACGAGGGATTGCCTCAGTTATTTTTCTGTGTTCGGGAGTGGTGGTTCACGCTTTTGGTAGTTGAATAATCACGACCCCTTGACCCCCAAAGAGGTACCCCAGAAGGGTGTGCATGCATGTGATGTTAGAGGCCCCATTGACTGCATGTGTTTCAAGTGACATGTCGAATGGCAATGACCATTTGGCTCAAGATGCCCATCAGATCAAAACCAGGGTTTGCGCTCGCCTGGGGTTAATAAGGGTCCCGGTTTCTGGTTCGCTGTGTTTCTTTCCCTGTTGAGTGGTTATCAGCCGTAACTGCTTTTTGGGATTAGGCCCCCCTCAGTCCGGTAGTCAGCGCACTTCGTGCATGGACCCGGCACCGGCCTTCTCGGCCCGTGGTCAGAGGGGCGGGTGGATGGACGCATCGTCGCAAGCTCTACTACGAGGCCTTCGACGAGCTCACCCGGTGGGCCTGGCGGGAGTTCAAGGTTGGGGTGACAAGGGTCGCCTGGGAGGAGGCATCGGATTTGCACCGGAGCTCCCTCCTGGCGTGGCAAGCAGATTTTCCCGATAACGCTTATCGGCATCTGCGAGACATCTACCCCGACCTCTACGACGCCGTCATCGCCCGAGGCCGACACCAACCGATCCCAATCCTACAACGGGCACAGGCCGCAGCTCAAGGCGCGGCAGGGCAGCCTCCAGCTCCAGTACCAGCCCAGCCTCAGCAACAACCAAGCACCCCATCAAGTCCATCCTCCACCACAACTGTGTCCACAATCAAGGCTGCAGCTACAAGCGCAGCTCCGACACAGGTAGCAGCAGGGCCGGGAGATCAGGCTGCAGCTCCAAGCGCAGCGGTTCCCACAAGGACCAGCTCTGAGAGCCCGTCCCGACCGTCATCCTTTCCGCCTGTGAAAGCAGGCCGGAGAAGGTACACTGCTGCAGGGAGGTCCTCATCAAGGAGGAAGAGGACGCCACCGACAAGGCGACAGCCTTCTCCTCCGCCGGTGCGGAAGGCGTCAACCCGACGCCCACGATCCAGAACTCCCCTCAGGGCTGCAACTCAAGCGCAGCGAGTCATCGGGGCTAAATGACGTTGGAAGTGACCTTCAGGTTGGATCACAGGCTCCCCAAGTTCAAGGGCCGAGTGATGCCACACGTGAGCAGTGTCCCCCGAAGGATGCAGCTCTAGGCGCATCGGGAAGTTCAAGTAGCAACCCTAAGGTAGCGCCACGTGCCGCTGTTGGTTTCCCAAAATCCTTCGCTCCCCCACAGCCCGACATCAAGTCAGATGCCAAGCGTGTGCAAATCCAGGATGGTGATCCACGTGCACAACCACAAGGACCACCGGATGTCGCTCGGACTCAGGATGTAAGGGGACCTGTAGACGTACAGGCACAAATGTCCTCTTTAACTGAGATGGTCCTTCAACTTTCAAAGCTAGTTGAGGCCCAGGTAGGGGTATCAGGGGCTTCGCCCCCGATCGCATCGGCTCAGGCACCCCCACCTTCCGTAGCTGCCCAGCACACAACTGCTGTCCCCACGCTTAGGCTAACAAGTGCAAGTACAAGTCAAGTGGCTCAATTCCCATCCTCCCCACTCGCACCTTCGGAGGCAAGCTCCGACACATCCTCAGAATCCGGTGACGAGGGTCATACCCCTTCATGCCGTGTCTGTGGTGGCCCGCATGATGATACTGCCTGCCCCTCCCTTTCCATGAATGGGGGTCAGGGACAAGGTACTCAAGCAGCAGATGCAAGTGGTGGGGATGCTGCTACAAGCGCATCAGATCCGGCCTCGTATGAGGAAACCGTGGTTCGCATAAAGGACCTTAAGGATTTAGTGCTTCCGCTTCCGCCAGAGAACGCCGGACAGGCGCGTGGATACGTGAATCAAGTCCTCATGGCCATTGGACGTTTGCAAAAAACGACCGGTGACGAGCTCTATCTCTGGGCTCAGGATTGCCTGACCTCATCCGAGGAACAACTCAGGGCAGATAAACGTTTCCCACGCACAACCCGTGAAATAGCCGCCAAGCTGTTGAAAACGTGTCGCAAAGGCAAGTTTGGGTTGCTGTTCCAAAACATGGTGGAGCACGAACGGAACACCGCAGGTACAATGCCCAATGGGCGCGTGATGTTGCGTTCGATCTTCAAGTACTTTCAACTGGAGCGTGATCGGATCGGCATCCTTGGAGAACGCAATCTTCTAGGTTTGAAACTTGCCGGCCAATCAGTAGCGGACATAGAGGCTTTCCGTGAGAAGTACAACTATATTCTCCGTGCGATACCTCTTGATGAGCTCCCCAAGGAAAGAACTCTTTTCAATCATCTCATGGATGAGTTTGAGAAGTGCCCAATAATGAAGCATCGCGTTGAGAAGGCCCGTGAGTCCGCCCATGATAGTCACCGCCGCACCTGTGCATGGCTGTGGGCGAAGGCAGACCTGGCCATTGGGCAAGCTGATGAGTTTGATCAAGATGTTAAGCTCAAACCGGCTGTTCGTGGCACGGGCAAGGAAGCAGCTACCAGCGCTTTGCCAGCAGAGACTAAGAAGGAGAAGAAGAAGAACAAGAAAGGTGATAAGAAAGGGGATCAAGGGCAGGATAAAGGCGGCACCGCAGCCGCTCCTGCGCCTAAAGGTAAAAGTCCTTCGAACCCTAAGCCTCCTCCTCCGAAGTCCCAAAATGCAAACAAGGGAGACACTACCCCTTCTAATCTCACGCCGAGGTCGAAGGCTGTGTCCAAGACAGCAAAGATGTCAGCCGTTGAAAAGGCAAAAGTTCCGTGTATGTTCTATGCCTATGATGCGAGTAGGGCTAAGTCCTGCGCCTTCCTCCACTCGCCGACCGAGAAGTACACTGGGCCACCTCCACGGGCCCTCAGTAAGGCGAAATCTCCGGCCGCTGTTGCCGCCGTAGTCCCAGCAGTCCCAAGTGTCCCCGCCAGGAACAATAGCATTAGCTGGCTTTGGGACACCGCTGCAGGTCGCCACCTCATCGGTAAGCAGGCTTTGAACAGCACCATGATGCATTGCGTACGCAAGACCAACACACCGGTAGGCTTTGCCACAGGCGGAGGAGCACAACAAGGAGATAAATCTCTTGCGTTTGAGGACTCCCGTGTGATCCCACCTGATGAGCAGGTTTATGTTTTGAACGAATGTCCGCCCGCTCAATCAATTGGCAAGACCGTCATCGATCGAGGTTACCTCTTTATCTGGGACCCCAGAGAGAACGTTCCTTATCTTGTGCCTCCTTCTGAGATTGGTAAGTGCAAGCTTCGGGTTCCTCGCCGTTCTAGGATCAACGACTCCAGGGTCGTTGAATACGTACCACAGTACGATGAGGTAGTCAAACCGCAGATCGTTGATCAAGCCGCGAATCTTCGACCAATCAATGTCGTTGGTTCCCCTGTGAAAGTCGAGGATGGTGCAGTTTCCTTGTCCGATGATGAGTCCTTCATCGTTGATCCATGCCAGGATTTTCCATCACCTCCCCAAGTGCCAGAAGAAGGAAAGGAGCAGCTCAATGCGCTCATTGATGATGTGGTCCAAGAGATTAAGGTTGCAAGCTTTACGCGCAACGAAAAGCCAGCCATGCCAGCTCCGGAGGAAAGGCCTCCGGCCGAGCCCCCGGATCCGCCGCCAGCACCACCACCTGTTGGAGCACCTCCTGCACCCGCACCAGCGGTGCCCGAACATCCTGATGACGAGCGCAGGCTTGTCGATTTTGCAGAAGGTGGTGAGCTTCGTGATGAACCCCGGCTTCGGGCCGAAGCCAGTTCACCGGAACACCAACGGACTCACTTTCCCAAGAATCCCTTCTGCAAGATTTGCAACATCGCTAAGAACACCTCAATGCGTGTCGCCCGGAAACCAGGGGGGCGGAGTGACGATCTTCTCGACGCACCCGCCGCTCCCTACCAGCAGCTCGCTACTGATAGCGTGATCTTGGCGAAAGGCGATGAACATGTTGGCATCGGCATAGGCGGAATAAAATCCCACCATGTCATCAGGGATGTGTTTTCCGGCGCAAGGGTCGCATACCCGGTCTCTAAGAGAGACATTCCGTCGCACGCAAGGAACCTCAGGCATTTCATTGGCCTCAGAGCCAACGAACTCGCTCCACACTGTCTCATAAAAATGGATGAAGCTGGAGAGTTGCAGGGAGCGGCCGAGGAAGTAGGGATGATCCCCGAAACTTCGTTGCCGAATCGCTGGCCCCACAACTCCGAGCTGGAGCGAGATGTCCGAGAGGAGAAAGAGTGTTGCAGGAGCATACACCATCAATCGGGTTTGCCCTACTCTCTGCACACGCACTCCTATCCCTTTGCATGCCTCTCGATGTCCTTCGACCGACCGTCCACATTCGATCCGACAAAGACGCAATGGGAAGCACTCACCAAGGAGAAGTTCGACGGCGTCCGCTGTTGCTTCGGACAGCTCGTTTGGTATCGTCTAAAGTCAGCTGGAAAGAGAACCCTAGAACCCAACATGGCTCCAGGCTTGTTTATGGGTTGGCGTATCGATCCAGGGATGCGATATCGAAGGGTGCTAAAAGTTATGGACTACCAAAGTTTCAGGACCAATGGAAATGTTACTGTCCATGACGTGCCCGAACCTGAGTTGTTCGTCGAGGAAGGCGATCCTGTTTTCCCCATCGCGGCCGCTGCCGATCGAGCCCTGCGAACAGGCGATGGCGAGGTTCCTGAATATGCCATCAGAGATGTTCCGTTCATTCCTGAAGGCATCCCTGCCCCGTCAACACCGTCAGGCTTTAAGTCACGAAGTGTGTACATCACCATTGAACGGATCATAAAGTTCAAGGAGACTCCTGGGTGCAAGGCCTGCACCGGCCATGCTAGTTCCAGGCATCACACTGACGAATGCCGCAAAAGGTTTGCAGAGCTAGTTGAAAGTGAAAAGGAAGAAGCAAAGGCCAAAAAGGCCGCAAGTGAGGAGGCCACCAAACCAAGTAAGGGTGAAGATG